GCAGCCACGGCGCGGTGTCGGCCAGCGAGGCGCTGCTGGCGGCCGCCGCCTTCTGCCTGGTGTTCCTGCTGCTCCAGCGGCTGCAGCAGCGGCCGCCCGTGCCCGAGGGGCTGCGGAGACCGCCGGGCCCCCGCGGCTTCCCCGTGCTGGGGAACGTGCTGGAGCTGCGCAAGGACACGCACCTGGCGCTGGAGCGGCTGAGCCGGCGCTACGGGGACGTGATGGAGGTGCGCATCGGGTCACGGCCCGTGCTGGTGCTCAGCGGGCTGGACACCATCAGGCAAGCGCTGGTCAGGCAAGGAGAGGACTTCATGGGGCGCCCCGACCTGCCCAGCTTCCGCTTCGTCGCAGATGGGCAGAGTATGGCTTTCAGCCCCGACTCCGGRGATGTGTGGAAGGCGCGCAAGAAGATGGCCCAGAACGCCCTGAAGAGCTTCTCCATCGCCCCCAGCCCCACCTCGTCCTCCACCTGCCTGCTGGAGGAGCACGTGTCCAAGGAGGCCGAGTACCTGGTCACCAAATTCCTGCAGCTGATGGAGGAYGAGAAGAGGTTCGAGCCCTACCAGTACCTGGTGRTGTCRGTGACCAAYGTCATCTGTGCCATGTGCTTCGGCCGGCGCTACGAGCACGATGACCAGGAGCTGCTCAGCCTGGTGAATTCAGCGCAGCAGTTTGATGATGTGGCTGCTATTGGCAACCCGGCCGACTTCATCCCCCTGCTCCAGTACCTCCCCAGCCGCAGCATGAAACTGTTCATCGACTTCAACAGGTACTTCCTCAGCTTCCTGCAGAAGATCGTCAAGGAGCACTACGAGACCTACGACGAGGTGAGAGCTCGCAGCACCCTTGCTGTACCAGAGGCGTGGTGGCCCTGCTCTCCTCCCCTCACCGTAAACGAGGTGTTTTGTTTTTGCAGCCAAGCAGCAATGGCTGTTGTCTCTGCCCAGTCCTCCTGCCCACGGAATCATAGAATATCCTACATTCATGGGATTTCCGAAGTTGGAAAGGGCCCTGGGATCATGGAGTGCAGTTCCTGGCCCCRCACAGACACCCCAACAMCCCCACCCTGTGCATCCCTSGWAGCGCTGTCCAAACGCTCCTGGAGCTCTGGCAGCCTCGGGGCCTGGGGAGCCTGGGCAGTGCCCAGCACCTTTGGGGGAAGGAACCTTTCCTGAGATGCAGCCTGAACCTCCCAGACTCAGCTCCATGAGCCTCTCACCTTCCCCTCCATTCTGTGATAGGGTCAGTCAGGTGGTCAAACATCTCCTCTGTGCCTCGGAGAGCTCTCACCCTGTTCCCATCAGGACCTTGGGATGATGGGAATGAGGTTCCCCTCCACAGAGCTCACACAACCCAGAGCTCCCCCAGCTCAGCGTCACCCACTCCTCTGCCCACCCAGCCCTGCTGCCATGSCTTTGTCTCCTCTTGCTCTCAGAACAACATCCGGGACATCACCGACTCCCTCATCGAGCAGTGCCTGGACAAAAAAGTGGAAACRAAAACGGCCATGCAGATCCCCAAGGAGAAGATCGTCAACCTCGTGAACGACATCTTTGGAGCAGGTATCCTTTGTCATCTCTCCTCAGCTGTGGCAGATGTTTCAGATTTCCTCCATCTCCTCCTGTCCAACCTTTCCTGGTCCAACACCAGTTTTGGTTCCAAGCACTTACCCTCCTGCCCGCGGGAGCTTGCAGAGATACCCTAGAGACCAGTCTGGGACATCAGCTCTGGGGAGAGCCTTCAGGGATGAGAAAAAGGCACCAATTATAGCAGAGCTTCTCAAACCAGGGTGGCTCTTCCCAGCTGAGGGAGATGTCTGGACTGATTCACCTTTCCATGGAAATTCCCCCAATTCCAGAGAAGTTGTACAAAGCTGACACAACCCAGCAGTGAGACAGCGTGAGGGAGCAGGATATTTTAGCAATTTTTCTGTGATAGAATAAAGCCCCAAGCCTTGTTGCGTGTCTAGAGTGTCCCCTGCCTCCTCGGTCAGCCCATACTGCCCAGTGTGATGGTCAGCCCGAGCTCTCTGAGCTCACCCACACTCCGTCCTCATTGCCCAGGCTTTGACACCGTGACCTTGGCCTTGTCCTGGAGCCTCATGTATCTCGTGACATATCCTGACATCCAGAGGAAGATTCAGGAGGAGCTKGGTGAGTCCATGAGTCCCCCCTTCCCCTGGGATCAGAACTCTGTGGTCAGTGTTAATCCTGACCCCGTTCCCGCTGCCCACCTCCCCCAGACCAGCGCATCGGGCGGGAGCGGCGGCCGCGGCTGTCGGACCGGGGCTCGCTGCCCTACACGGAAGCCTTCATCCTGGAGATGTTCAGGCACTCCTCCTTCGTGCCCTTCACCATCCCACACAGGTACTGCAGCTGCTCCTGGGACCAGGTGGCCTTGTGGCACCTCATAAATGGCTCAAGGAGGACACAAAGCCACCCCTTAGGGTCACATCCTCCCCTCGGCAGCGCCCTGAGGAGGCACCAGAACCTTTGGGATCATTCAGATCTCCGTCTTTTCTCTCRCCAGCACCACCAAGGACACGGTGCTGAACGGCTGCTACATCCCCAAGGACACCTGCGTGTTCATCAACCAGTGGCAGGTGAACCACGACGAGTGAGTACCTTGTGAGGCACAAACCCTCCTTTGGTGACAACAGGACCCTCCTGCGGTGACAAACAGGACCCTCCTGCGGTGACAAACAGGACCCTCCTTTGGTGACAAACAGAACCCTTAGAGCAGTGACAAACAGGACCCTCCTTTGGTGACAAACAGGACCCTTCTGTGGTAACAAATAGGACCCTCCTTTGGTGACAAACAAGACCCTTAGTGCAATGACAAACAGGACCCTTGGAGCAGCGACAAACAGGACCCTCCTTTGGTGACAAACAGGACCCTTTCTGCAGTGACAAACAGGACCCTCCTGCAGTGAGAAACAGAACCCTTAGAGCAGTAACAAACAGGACCCTTTCTGCAGTGACAAACAGGACCCTCCTGCAGTGACAAACAGGACCCTTAGAGCAGTGACAGACAGGACCCTTTCTGCAGTGACAAACAGGACCCTTCTGCAGTGACAAACAGGACCCTCCTTTGGTGACAAACAAGACCCTGCTGCAGTGACAAACAGGACCCTCCTTTGGTGACAACAGGACCCTCCTGCAGTGACAAACAGGACCCTTGGAGCAGTGGCAAACAGGACCCTCCTTTGGTGACAAACAGGACCCTCCTGCAGTGACAAACAGGACCCTTGGAGCAGTGGCAAATAGGACCCTCCTTTGGTGACAAACAGGACCCTCCTTTGGTGACAAACAGGACCCTGCTGCAGTGACAAACAGGACCCTTGGAGCAGTGACAGACAGGACCCTTAGAGCAGTGACAAACAGAACCCTCCTTTGGTGACAAACAGGACCCTTAGAGCAGTGACAAACAGGACCCTCCTTTGGTGGCAAACAGGACCTTTCTGCAGTGACAAACAGGACCCTCCTTCGGTGACAAACAGGACCCCAGGGATGTTTCTCCTGACTGTTCCCACCTTCCAGTGTCCCCCCTTCACCCAAGACCAGCAGAAACCATCTCAACACCCGATATTTTCCCTTCCAGGAAGCTTTGGAAGGACCCAGAATCCTTCAATCCCGAGCGGTTCCTCAGCGCTGACGGGAGCAGGGTGAACAAGGAGGACGGGGAGAAGGTGCTGCTCTTTGGCCTGGGCAAGCGGAGGTGCATCGGGGAGACCATCGCCCGCTGGCAGGTGTTCCTGTTCCTGGCCACGCTGCTSCAGCAGCTCGAGTTCAGCCTTTGTGAGGGCCACAAGGCTGATCTGACCCCGCTCTATTCGCTCACCCTGAGGCACAAGAGGTGCGAGCATTTCCAGGCCAGGCAGCGCTTCGCCATCAAGGGCGGGAGCTGAGCGGAGCCAGCAGACACCTCCAGGGTGTCCTTCAGCACAAGATTTTCCCCGAAAAACTTCATGGGAAGTTTGTGGAATAAACTGAAACCTCTGTTTTTTCTGCTTTGCTTTGTAGCAGTCGTTGCCTTTTTTGTTTCCCGGTGTTTCTGGTGTTGGATATTCCATTAAATGTTGGCTGTCCCACCACATCTGGTCTCAGACTCCATCCTTTTGGGATCGCCCTCGGATAGGTGAAGGACAGCCAGGCCATAACCCCACAGCCCCCAGCGGGGTTCAAGAATTACAGAATTACAGAATTACAGAATTACAGAATTATGGAATTACAGAATTACAGAATGATGGGATGACAGAATGACAGAATTATTACAGAATTATTACAGAATTATTACAGAATTATTACAGAATTATTACAGAATTATTACAGAATTATTACAGAATTACAGAAATACAGAAATACAGAATGACAGAGTGACAGAATTACAGAATTGTTACAGAATTACAGAAATACAGAAAGACAGAATGACAGAATTATTACTGAATTACAGTACAGAAATACAGAATGACAGAGTGACAGAATTACAGAATTATTACAGAATTACAGAAATACAAAAAGACAGAATGCAGAATGACAGAATTACAGAAATACAGAAATAGAGAATTACAAAATTACTGAATTGTTTGGGTTGGGAAAGGCTTCAATTTTACCAATCCCAGCTATTCCAAGGTCTCTGCTAACTCATGTCCCCAAGCGTTTTTAAAACACCCCCAGAGATGGTGACTCCACCTCTGACCACCTTGATGGTGAAGAAATTTTCCCAATATSCCAAATCCCAAATCCCCMCTGATGCAATTTGAGCCTTCAGCCTCCTCCTTCGGCACGGTTAGTGCTGGCCCTGAAGGACATGAAGGAATGAGGAAGGACACGAGGAAGGACATGAGGAAGGACAAGAGGAAGAAGGGCACCTTCAGCCCCTGCTGCTGGGAAAGCCAACACCRCTGCCGTTCCAGGCTGGAACAAAGGTGTTTTCACGGCAGGAAGAGAATGAGAACAGGAATTGCTCCAGCTCAAAGCCGAGAGTTTACCTTGGCTGCCAGTCAGCCCCTGCCAGCAGAGCCCGATGCCTCCTCTTCTCCAGCTCGCACGCAAAGCCACCCAGCCAGCCTGGCAGCGGTGACATGGGGACAAGCGCAACCCCTGGTGCTCCTGAACCCTTTCCCAGGCAAGGATTCTGCTCCCACAGCCCCAGAGCCTGAGCTGCCGGGATGGCTGCACGCCATCACTCACCACACGTCGCACAAACACTTCCAAGAGGCAGAAATGCGAGCGTGGTGGGGATGAGAACGGGGAAGCCGATTGCCCAAGGCTTCAGGGCGATTCTGGCGTGTCCAGACCTGCTAAATCAGCCTGAGGGGGAAGGAGGGACTCTGGGTGTCCAGGTCCTGCTTGGTCACCAATGACCAAGAATTCAGAGCCACCTAAATTCTTCAAATCAGCACAAGCAGCTGTTGGGGTCACTCCAGCTTTCTCTTCCCCTCTTAACGTCACAATCCCAATATTGGCAGAAAACCCCCAGAGTGGAGGGTCCAAACCTGCTGTGGGGTCTTTGAAAAAGAATGGAGGGATGTTTTAGGGCAAGCCATGAGCTCCACCATGACAGCTCCACCAATTACAGCAGGGACAGGGGTCAGTGCCACAGAATCACAAACACRCTCCCCACAGGGACACCCCAAAGCCAGTGTTCACTCACTGCAGGGAAAGGTGGGGCCWCCCACTGGAGCTGACTCTCGGTGCCTAACCTGCACACCCAGGCAGCAGCGGGACTGCCAGGCACTCGTGGGTGCCACGCTGTCCCCGTGGGGTGGACTTGGCCCGGTGACTCGGCCGCAGGGGACACACGATGGTGGCCCTGCTGCGGGACCGCGGGCCCCGTTGGCTGCACCATTGCGTGACTCCCTTGCCCTCAGGGCTGGCTGGGCGCGCTGATAAGGCTGCAATAAGCAGGAGCGGGTTTAAAGAACAGCGGGAAATGTTTCCCCCTCTTTGGAAATGAGAGTTTTATAGCCCCAGGGCAGATAAGCAGCTTAATATTAACATTAGTGGGGTGGAACAGCCTCTGGCTAGTGGAAGGTGTCCCCAGGACCCATTAATTGAGGGTTGATAAAGTCACCCCTGTGTCAGGATGGACAAGGAAAGGGAAGGGGCTGGAGGGAGGAGGAAAGGAGTGATCCTTCCCTTCTTTTATCTGGTAGAGCACCCACTTGACTCTTTACACTCACTTTACTCTTTGCACCCACTTTACTCTTTATACCCACTTTACTCTTTTTACCCACTTTTTTAACTCCTCATCTTCATTCAGCTCCTCTCCCTCTCTGGATGCCGACTGAACCATCCCACGGAGCTGTRGAAGACTTTTCCAGGCGTTTTGCAGCGGCAGGAGGGACCCCTGAGACCTTGGTGYGATATCCCTGCGTGCTGTCCTGTCCTCGAACACCCCATCCAACAGCCCAGACCCCAGCTGGAGCCCCAGCTTTCCACAGAACAGAATCTCCCAAGCTGGAAAGGATCCACAGGGATCATYCAATCCAGCTCCTGGCCCTGTGCAGACCCCGCAAAAATCCCACCCTGTGCATCCCTGGCAGCGCTGTCCAAACCCTGACCATTCCCTGGRGAGCCTGGGCAGTGCCCCGCCAACCTTTGGAGAAAGAATCTTTCCCTGAAATCCCACCGAACCCTCCCCTTTCCATCATCACCGAGTCCGCGACAGCCTCAGCGGCTCTCAGCAGGTAAGAGGCTCCATCTCCCCTATCTTTGCCTGCCCCTAATGACCTTCCTCAATTAAGCCCTCTAATTACCCCCCGGGCAGCCTGCGAGCGCCGCGATTTCGTTACGGRGAGCCGGGGTGGCGATAAGCTTTGATCGCTCCGTGGCCAATTGCTTTTATGGCCGGTTTTAAAATGAGTCATGAGAGCAGCGCCGGGTTCCAGCTCCCCTTCCGCTGCTCCGACCGCCTCAATCCCGCAGGAAAAGGTCCGGGCAGACACGCACCTGCTCCCTCCGCTGAGATATTCCGCTCTCCGGCTCCTCCTCACTGGGAGAATCAATCCCCAGCCCCAAAACGGGACAGAGCAACCGCGTGTGGCTCTTCCTCATGGACGGAAGAGCGGAGTTGCTCTAATTCCTCTTGATTAAAAGTGAATCCTGCATTTCTGATTTCTTTCCTATGGCTGTTTGAGGTCTGTTATCAGGAATAATTTCCCCATGGAAAGCTGCTGTGCCTCGCTTTTGCGGTTTTTCTGACAGAAATAAACCCCTCCCAGAACCATCTTTCTCTCTGCATCTCCACTGGGACAGAGCTGGGCTTTTCCACACTTTCAACTTCACTCTGTTTTCTGGCTTTCTGGGAAAAAAAAAAAACCAATCTCTGCTCAGCCTCCATGAGCTGGTGAAATGTCCTTCATGGTGGGTGAGGAAGATGCTGKCTCTCCAACCCGTCCGGGCTGAACCTGTGAGTGGAGCAGAGTTTGAGCCAAAGGAGCCGGGCTCCCAAAACCTGGCACGTGGCTCTGCTGCAGCGGGGATCCCAAATGGGAATGAACCCCTTTTGCTGCTCCCACCATCCTCATCCCGGTGGGAATGAGGCRGAGTTTGGGCTGATGGATCGTCCCACGCCGTTGGAGGTACAAGGTGAATCCGAGGGGAAGGATGGAGTTTGTCCCCAGGCCGAGGAGGGAACTCCTCCCTGCTCAGGAAAAGCTCCGGGCTCCCAGGAATTCCCTCAAAGGCCACCCTACACCCATCCCGGCAGGATTTTCTGTGGGGTGAGAGATGAGACCAAAATCCCATGGACCAAAATCCTCTGGGATTGTGGATGCTCCTCCAACTCTGCCTTGGCAGCAGGATGAGGGCTGGAGAGCATTCGGGGCTGGCTGTCCCCTGAATGTCCCCAAGGCTGGCCCTGGGTCTCCTGRTGGCAGCGTAGCAGCGGCTACCGCAGGGGAGAGGGGCTCTCATGTCCCCCCCAGGACCCCATTAACTAATCCCAGTTGTCTGCCCCACTCTCACCCCCCTAAAATCGGCTCCTGAGCCCCAGCAGGGCGGGCAGAGCCGGGCTGGTGCTGCCGGGRCAGGGGACACAGGCAGAGGGAGGGTCCGGCCCGGTCCCAGCCCGGAGCCGATGTCCCCAAGCTGCTCCCTTTCAACTAAAAACACCCTGAGAACCAGGACGAGCCCTGAACTGAGGCTGTTCCCCACACCCGAGGGGGTTTTGGGGCTGACAHTGGGGAAGGCGCCCCCCGAGAAGCAGAACTGGGATGGAGCGAGCGGGATCCCGGTTCACCGGGACATTGCTGTCCCCTCCCGCCGGGATCTGGGACATGACCGCCCTCCGGTGGCAYCTGCGACACCGGCCCCGCCAGCTCCCGTGGCGCGGAGCAGAGCCGGGAGATTTTTGGGGTGGTGGCACATTTGGGGAGATGGATCTGTAGGAGATTGAACCCCCTTTGTACCCTCCCGAGCCCCTCGCCACCCCCGGAGCCCTGGGAGCACAGAACCAGCCGGACCCGGCTCCCCTCGGGGGTTTTCCAGCTGGAAGGTGAATTTTCCAGGACGGAACGAGCTGGGAGCTGTCGCGCTGACTCCACTCCGACGTTCCCGGCCACCGCCTGTGGATTCTCGGTGGCTCGTACACTCCAGGAAGGAGCGCTTCCCTCTCCCTGCCCACCGCTTCCCAGCCCGCCCGCGTTGCCGGAATCCCTCGGAGGCTCCAGCCCCGCAGGGACTCACCCAGCCAGCCTGGGGGATGGAGAGGAGAGGCAGAGCGACAGAGCAGGCGATTTTCTATGCCCACTCCGTCGGGATTTCACCCGCCAGCTCCTCSTCTGTTGCATTTTTYCCCTTTTTCCCTTWTTTTCCCTTTTCCTGCCGGTCCCAGGCGGCTGAAGGGCCCCCTCTCCTGGTGTAAGGCAGGTGCCTCGCCGGCAGCGAGCAAATCCATCCTTCCCTTCCAGCCGGGACAGCACCCGCTCTCAAACCAGACCTTTCCTGGGAAAAAAAAAATCCAGCCGGGACATTGCAGCAGCTGTGCCGGGACGATTTCCCTCCGTGGGGTCTCCTGCGTGCTTCAGCCTCAGCCAAATCGCTGCATCGTCCTTCCGGCCATCCCTGACGGTTTTGGGGGCTTCATGGG